CTTTGTTTTCGTGTATATAATCTTGAAGAAAAAATCGATGCATTAATTAGAGGTAAGTCCTATGAATTGGTTTATGCAAAAAATCGTCTAAAATTTTTTTTTGAGTTGATCGCACTTTGGATCTAAGTGTGCGACATCTGCATACCAAGTTTCAATACTATACCATGAACACTTTCAGAGATATGCAATATGAAAAATTCGGTTTGTATGGGAGGTGCCACGCCGTCTTCACCTAGCGGTATGAAATATACTTCACGACCTATTCTCATACCTACCAAATATATACCAAAAATTCCGTACAAATCGGACGAACCGTTTCGGAGGAGTTCGACCATACACACCGTGACACGAGATTTTTATTTATTAGATATAATTTAAAAATTACAATAACTATCTAAATAAAAAAAAAATATATAAAAGAACCCCGCGCCTGCACTTGAACTTTTTTATGGCACAAGTATTTATATTTTTCAAATTTGTATCTATCTATTTAAATTGAAATTATTAGATATGTATATAAACTTACATTAATTTAACTTGAAAAATCTTAACCGCCTCCAAGCGGACTCGAACCTGCGATCTTGGATCCAGAACCACTGGTCTTCACGCGACGCCACAGCCGCCATTTGTAAGAAAAGAAAAAATTTTTTTTTTTGGCTTTGGCAATTCAAAGGCAGATGTCATTGAAAACTTAGGTTCTTCGGAATTGTTGAACTGGTAGGCCATCGCTTTAGCACATACTAGTTAATGAACTAGTATTTTTACTGACTGGTTTGGCTTTTCACTGCAGGGTATGCACACTTACATATACATACATACTCAGATGTGATCATTCAAATACGTGCGTGCTAAATTTTGATATGAAAATATTACTTTTAAATATAAAGTATTCATTTTTACTATGCATTATTTTCCACAGTATAGGGTGCCAGAAAGCTTGCTACGGCTCTGTAAATATCCATTCTCATTACCAGGGAACGGATTTTTAGGGCCTAAAGACCTATAAAAAAGGCAAAATAAAATAACGAAAAAGGCAGGAAAAGGCACTAGGTATTGCAAAAAAGGCAAAACAAAAAAAGCAAAATTAGGCACTAAAAGAAGACAGAAAATACGAAGAACAATCAAAAAATACATTTATTTTAGAAATGTTTATATTACAGGTAAAAAGAGAAAAACTATGAACTAGTTTCATTATATGTAAAATTTTTACTTTGAATCTTTGACTATTTTATCCGTTCGAGTTTCTAACTCATAGAACTTTAATCTGTATAGTTGTAGTAACATTGAACCACAAGATGCATTTTGAAGTTTTCTGGCAGCACTTTTATTCGATTTTCGCGAAGAAAAGCCTTGAATGTGCTAAATGTGCGCTCGACGTAAGGTAATACAAGTGGAACCCAATTTAAATATGGAACGTTTGAAACGTTCATATTATCAGGAATGAGGGCGTTTTCCTCGCCCTTTACAATTTTATCCACACCCCTTATTGTCTTCAAGCCTACGTTAGCTGAGAAAACGGCTTTGAATTTTTCCAACACCAATTTGGTAAGAGGTCCCTGCGCTTCTATAAGCCACATGGGCATGTGTATATTTTTTAATCTTAAAAAAAAAATTGTAAATGCTATAATCACTTTTTTAAAGGTAGAAAAGGCAAAAAAGGCAAATATCTTAAAAAAGGCAAAAAAAGGCAACATCAAATGTGTATATATAGAATCAGGTAAAGCTAAATCGTGGACATTCTTAATCGAATATACTCTCTCTCGTTAGCAGAAAAAAGGGCAATATCCATAAAATCCGTTCCCTGCTCATTACTAATGAGTCACTACTAATCAGACAGTGAGAATTCCTATTCTCATGAAAAATGTTTTCATCGTTTACGAGAACCTTTAAACAGAATTGGTCCTATCGAACAGAAGGTAATCGAAAAAATACAACTAAATACATATAAAACATTGCACTTTAATTTATTATCTGGGCTTGAGATAAACACACTCAGGGCTATCACTGAATCCATCGTAGAAAATCTACGAATTCGGATGCCTGCTACGAATACGAAAAAATTTCTATCACTGAAATATCGTTTCCAGCTTTGAATGCTGAACATTGAAGATTCAAAATTAGCTGGAAAGGAAACAATAGACATTTATGTATGTCATTTTCCTCACCCTGCCCCAGCAGTGGCAATGTCCGAGTCAGCAAAGCACTGGTCTGCCGTTTGAGAGATCCAAGACCTCGGGCAGTGGAACTTTTTTTACTTTTTTATTTTCCTTTTATTATTATTATTTTTTTAGCTTTAGATTTTATTCTTTTAAAAATAAAAATGCTTGTATATTTAATTTTTAATATTTTTATTGAGCTTTTGTACCACGATTGTTTATTAGGAAAAATTGAAAAAGCAACAAAGTCTAAGCGGTAGAAGTTATAGCAGCTATTTCGGAGATCACCACATCTCTTCATCAGCCTTCTTTTTTCTAGACTTCAGCAGGTATCGAACCTGCGAATTCGATGT